CTCTACTTTGAGAAATCTCTTATACAGACATAGTGTATGTCTTAAGATACACATCACACTACACTTTAATTACAGCCAATGAAGAAAAACCGTTAGCAGAGAGGGGCAGTAAGCAGCACTTTCTAGTGGTTAAAGGTTTGACTTCTGAAGTTGGAGCATCTGCACTCAAATTCTCACACTCTCACAGAGTGAATGAGGGATGTTAAGTAAATTATCTAAGGTTCATGCCTCAGTTTCCTTATGTCTAAGATGAATATCATCCTAGGCCATAGTTCTTCATGAGGACTAAACGAGGGGATGGGGAGGGGGAGCAGTCTCTTCCCTCATCATATATGCTCATGAAAGGGCTCATTACAGAAGGAAGGAATGGTAAGAGTGGTTTGGGAAGAGGTGTTCTAAAGTGGGAGATTAGTTGTGTGAGTTTTGACTCATGGACATAGTTGCTACATTTAGTCTGTGATACAAGAAGTAAACTACTGAATTTGAGGTTTCATTATACAATATACATCAATATACATTAGGCAATACTTTGGACATCATTGAACTTTGAATAAATTACTAAAAATAAATCTATTTTACTATACTCAGTGACAACAATTTGCCACAGTTTAATTGATAATGTGAAACTTATTTAATGAAATCTCTGGTTGACACACTAATGGTCCCTAAAGACCATTGGTCCAGTTCCATGTAGTGAACTGGAAATTCCATCAGAGTTACCTTCTATGTATGGCCCAAGACACACTGCACATCATGGGATGGAGAGGTTGTTCTAATCAAGTGGGTCAAATGGAAACACCAAGGGCTTTAAAGGAGGCAACAAGGTCAGAGTTAGCTGTGATGGTTGAAACAGACCATGGAATGATAGAAAGAGAGGCCAGGAGCCAAGGAAAACAGACAGGCTCTAGAAGTTAAAAGAAGCTGGGAGAAGATTATTCCTGGAGAATTAGGATGACGCAACCCTGACAATTCCTTGATGTGGTGAGACTAACTTTGAAGTTCTGACCTTCTGCTCTGTGAGATAATTTCTGTACTGCTTTAGGCCACTAGGTTTATGGTCATGAGCTTCAGTATCTACAGTATCTACATGTTAGTACATGACATCTTAAATTGTGAAATGAAGCTTTTTTTTTGTACCACTCAACTTTCAGAAAAAAATGATTGTTCTTTTTTTCTGTTTAATTTTTTTTAATTTTTAATTTTTTTTATTGAAAAAAAAAAATTCCACCTCCTCCCAGCCTCCCATTTCCTTCCCCCTCCTCCCACTCCTCTCCCCCTCCCTCTCCAGTCTGAAGAGCAGTCAGGGTTCCCTGCCCTGTGGAAAGTCCAAAGTCCTCCCCCCTCCATCCTGGTCTAGGAAGGTGAACATCCAAACTGGCTAGGCTCCCACAAAGCCAGAACATGAAGTAGGATCAAAACCCAATGCCATTGTCCTTGACTTCTCAGCAGCCCTCATTGTCTGCCATATAGCTATCCTCCTGGTTATGGGAGGTAGACAAGATTTCCGGGCAAAAAATTGGGATCTTGGGGGTGGGGTGGGAGGGGGTAAGGGGAGATGGGGAGAGAAAAGTTAGAAGGGAAGGAGGGGGTAACTTGGGGAAACAGGAGGATTGGGATAAAGGAAGGTTGGACAGGGGAGCACGGAACCACAATTCTTAGTTAAAGGAGCCACTTTAGGGTTGGCAAGAGACTTGACCCTAGAGGGCTCCCAGGAGCCCATGGTGATGTCCCCAGTTAGTCCCTTGGGCAGCTGAGGATAAGGAACCTGAAATGACCCTATCCTATAGCAATACTGATGAATATCTTGCATATCACCATAGAACCTTCATCTGGCGATGGATGGAGATAGAGACAGAGACCCACACTGGAGCACCGGACTGAGCTCCCAATGTCCCAATGAGGAGCAGAAGGAGGGAGAAGATGAGCAAAGAAGTCAGGACCATAAGTGGGGGGGGGCACCCACCTACGGAGAAGTGGGGCTGATCTATTGGGAGCTCACCAAGGCCACCTGGACTGTGACTGAAAAAGCATGGGATAAAACTGAACTCTCTAAATATGGTGAAATGAAGTTTTTTTTGATTTTTTTATATCTAGGTCTGTATTAGGCTCTTCTGCTTTCTGTGTCTTTTTGGTGCATAACTCAACCCATATATAAATAGCTACTGGGTAGCTTTAAAAAGGAATAGTTGATAGCTCTCCAAAGAGGCAATAATAAGATAGAAAGATGGCATTAAGCCTGAGTATCAATTTACATTGCAGTAAAGTTGCAATGTCATTAAGTGGTTAAATATTAAGTTATATAACAAAGACTTCCAAAGAGATTGATTAAAATATTAATGATATTATTTCTGTGTCCTTTTCTTTTTCTTTTTGTCTTCCCACTGTCCTAATTTTCTGCAAGTAGTATCACTTTCATGATGGCAAAGCACATCAACATTTTTTTTAATAAAGAGACAGCATTTTACAATGAAACATGAAATGTAATATAAGCAGCATCACTATATTCGATCACAGGTGCAAAAATACCAATCTAATGAATAATTAAACATTTTCAGAATCACAGGTCTGTATGTTCCATGTTGTGTGGTCATCATGGGTGGCTTGTTTTAAAAAGCACTGGTTAGCTTTAATAACGATACTGCTACAAACATCCACTGAGCAGTTACTGTGAACTGCATGACCAGAACAGCAGGTGATTTGGAGAAAATGTGTTTTAGCAGCTTCTGGCAATCAGTTCAACAAAAAAGCCAGCAGACTGATTTGTCTTCCATTTTACATGGAAAAATGAGTTATTCCTGAAACTATGGCTGTTTGTTGTTGGAAAAGTCATTCCAGCTTCTTTAGCCTCATTCTTTCTCTGTTAGATATGAGGGTATAGGATTAAGTTGACCATAATATTCCCCATAGCCCTATTAGTCTATAAATGTGTGACTAAGAACACTGCATACACAATTAGGATTATAGCCTCAGGATATTAACCAAGGAGACTAATTCAAATAGACAAATTTTAAAAAAATCTTCTCTTGGGTTTTACTGTCTCATTTTGCCATCATACAGGTGCGGCCGTGGCCATGAGTGAGCTTCAACCACATCCATCGCAGTGACACTGTGAAACATGCCGCTAACGCCCTCAGCATCAGTCGCTTCACGGCATCTGCTTTTTCACAACATCAGAAACTAAACTGCAGTGTACTAAAAGATCCAAACACGCGTTGGCTTCAGGCTGTGGTGGCCTGATGCCGGGCTGGTCAGCTGAGACTTGCAGCTTGTCACTTGTCAGCTCTTTAAGGAATGTATTCAGAACCTCGGGTTAGAGACCCACATTCTTCTAGGAAAATCAGACATATTAAAGCAACTTAACAGCTCTCCAAGTATACAAAAGGCCTGATGCATGCCCAGTAACTATGGTGTGAAATGAGGATACCATGTCTGGAGTCTGCCTTAAATGAAATTTCATTCTAACTTTGAAATGTCCATGGATATTTACTACACATTTTTTTTTATTTTAGGAAATATTGATAACATGTCTGTTCTTTGAAAACGACTTCAGTTACTTAACTTAGATTTGAAGGAATTTATGAGTCTTGTAGGGTATAATAATCACACACAGATTGAGCGCTAATACAAACCAGAAAGATAAATGTCGAAGAAAGACAGGAGTGAGAGAAGAATCAAGCCCACATGTTCTGTCACGGAGATGCATGAAGACAGATTACATGGTGCATGTCACTGAAGGCTGCTGGACACCCAAAGATAAGAACCAAGGTGGAAGGAGACAGATTTGTTGATGGAAGAAACAGAATGAATGCTTTTTTTTTTTTTGCAGGGATAGGGTTTGGGACATTCAGAGTGTATCTGGAGAAGATAAGAATAAAATATGGTAATTCCCACTCCAGGCTGGAGAGTCATGACAGAAAGATGGACACAATGGGTAAAATCTGGCTCTCAAATGCTTTGAATAGCCACATAAGAAGACCACACTTTATTCTATAGATAAAAGAGAGCCATTTGGGACTTTGACACAGTTATCTAATTGATCTACACTCAGCCATCCCTATTATAGGGGCCAATGGTAATTCTCATCCTGTTATTGTGAAAGCATTATAATTTCTCACTCGACAAGAGAATGAGATTCCAGACTGTTTTCCCACATATTGTGCAGTGAATTCAAATTCAACTCTCACATGTCTGAAAATCTGCAAAAAAGGTTCTCTGTGTCCTTCTAGCACTTCAGTATTGTCCACTGTTGGAAGAGGAATCCTCCTGTAAGTTCCTACCACAGAAGGTGCAGCTATGAGGGACTGAAAGTATCTAGTGGTTTTGAGGCTCCACTGGTCCAGGCTTCTAGACCCCCATGTTTGACCATGGCCCCTGTGCATACTCCATGTTTCTTATGGCATTGGAGTTAAGCCTAAATTCTGTATAGGACAGAATCGCATCCAATCAATCTTACTGTGGATATGTGGGTGTGCATTTATGCAGAAATGAATAAATACATGTTATACACAATGGTAGTATCACATTGTATCTCAATTTTATACCTATCATTTTGCAGCGGAAGCTGTATTTTCTCTTTATTTTACAAGCATTTTGAGAACAGACCTACTTTATTGTCTTCTATACACAGCCAATTTTCAATGAATATTTATTTATCAATTTATTCAAGTCCTCCTGTTTCCAGGTTAGGCTGGATTTTCCCCAGGGTAGGAGAACAGCTGGTTAACATATTTGGTATAAGAGAACTGGAAAGTGTGATTTTTATTTTCCCTTAGGTCTCTAAAGGGAAGATGGCTTGTTTGTTTAAGAGCTTCAGAGATAAGAGGTCTGACCTCATCATCTGAAAGTAATCTATCAGTGCAGACGTGAGTGGGTGCAATGCGTGTGACATCAGCCAGCCTGACACTGACAAATCATGTGCCAAACATTAAATCCAGGTGGTGTTTGCTAGTTCACACAGCCCATCCTCCAGCATGGCTTTCATGGCCGAATCTGGTACTCACCTCAATGAAGAAGATGCTGGCTGCTGATGTTGGGTGGTGATACATATAAACTGTCACCAGAATGGCTGCTGCTATAATGAGGATCAGGATCAGGATTCCAACAATGAGGCCGGCGTGAAGGCTTCCTCCTTTCTTCTCAGCTGCACTGTCGTCTGTAGAGGCTGAAAGAAGATTCCAGTTGTCAGGTCCGTCATATGTGTTCCCTTAAACTCAATTTTCTTTTGTGGAAAATTTGTGTATGCAAGCAAGTAACACTGAATATTTATCATGTTAGTTCAGGCTTGTGTGTGTGTCCAAACAACTTATGTCTGAATTTATTTAAGCAACAAAACCCTTAATATTAATGGCTAAAATAAATTTAATGTTTTCAGTGGTGCTGGTAATTGAACCCATAAACTTGTGCATGTTAGGCAAGCAGCCTACTGTTTAGCTACATCATTTTTTTTTAGATACATCATTCTTATAGTAGAATATCAATTTCTAGTTTAATAAACACAACTAGTAGCCTTTTAGGAATGTGTGTATATGTTTATATGTGTGCATGTATATATGTAGATGTATATGATCTTGTATGCTTATATAAGTGGGGCAGGCAACTTCTTTAATTGCTCTCAGCACTGCTTTCGAGAAAACTTTAACTGAAGCAGGCTAGTTGGCTAGATGGTCTGGGTATGTCAGGATTACAATCTTAACATGAGTGATGGGGATCTGAATATCCTGACTAAACCTTCTCATGAAGCCCTATTTGATTAGTCACTTATATCCACCCAAACTGTGAGAAAAATCTCAGATTCTGTTTAACTTACAGTAATTTGACCCCAGCTCTCTGTCTCTCCAAACTGACACTGCTATTGCTCCAGACTCAGTGCCTTTCAAAATCTCTCTCATTCTGTGTGGAATTTTCCATGGATGAGCATTACTTTTTTTCCAGTTGGCAACTCAGACATTTCCACAAAGTCTATGCATGTACCTCAAAGCACAATTCTCAAAATCTGTTTTAAATGGAAAAGCTTTTTAGAAGCATAACAGGTGGAGGCAAAATGACACTTGAAGAGTTTTATTACTTTCTAAAGGGAAAAAAAAAACTACAGCACATGAAAAGATTCCAGTATGCCACCACCTGGTCTCATTTTCTCTAAATCTAATAAGGTATGTGCCTCTGTAATACTAGCTTTCTGAGTTCATGGATAGAGGAATTTAATTTCCAATGTAATGATAATGCAAGCGAAAGTCAATCAACCACATAAAATTATCTAGAAAGGGTTTAAGATTCTGCAGTTTTGCTGGTGGCTCAGGCATTTGGAGATCATCCTCCATTATGTGTTGCAGGTAAGTGTATGCTAGTGTATAATGTGATTGGTAGTTCTGAGCCATTAGCTAATTCACAAGATGGACAGATATTCTGAAATACTGGCTCATAACCTTTATATTGGCAGGCCTTCTCTGTGTTATTATTACCCCTTGCTGCTATGTTTTAAGTGTTTTCCTATTAAATGACTTAATTGAGATTTTTAGTTTGCTTGTTTTAACTTTAAGAATTTGTTAGCAAAATACAGATATGGTTTTCTATCAGGATAAGTGGGTGATCTGAACTTACAGAATTCTAGATAAAATTCTCATAAAATCCTTCACACTCTCTTTAGTTTCCTTCCTTCCTCCGTTATTCCTCCCCCTCATCTTATTCCTTCTCAGTCCCTCTCTCCTTTCCTTCTGCTTTTCTCTCTACCTTTTCGCTTTCCTTTCTTCTTCTCTTCCTCCCTCCTCCCTCTCTCTTCAGCAGTAGGTCCTAAAATCAGAACTTGACCTTAGATCTCCATTCATTTCCCATCGTCATCATTTGCTCTTTGCTTGACTTTTGGTATCAGTGATTCAAAATTTTAGAGTTTTTTCCTACTGTTAAATAATTAACTAGAAAAGAATATGAAATTTAAAGAGTAATTCATTGTATAAAGTTTCTTTGCAATATACATACATACTTTATATATGTTGTTTTGTATATATCTAATCTTCAACTCTAAAACGTAAGCATCATTATTCCCACCTTTTAATGGCTGAGGTAACTGAGACAACAGGAAATTAAGAAATGTGTTAAAGTTGCAAACAGCTGCTCTCAAACAGGGGAGGCTGCTGGTAAACCCCAGCTCTGACCATCATTTTGTCAGCTAACACTGAGCTCTTACCACTTCTTTTCCTTCTTATTTGGCATCATGAGTCTGGCACAAAATTCTGGAAAAAATCTGGTAATTTTAAGTAAAGGAAAAATAATTTAAAAGACAGTTCAAAAAATAGTTTTGTGCCAATAACAAATGTGGAGGTTGTGCCTCTCCTGTGACTTCTCCTAGGCTTTGCCAGTATCTCTCCTGTGACTTCTCCTAGGCTTAGCCAGTATCGCTCCTGTGACTTCTCCTGGGTCTCCGGCCAGTGTTGCCATCAGAAGCACGTTCTCAAGTTTAGGGAAAGAGCAAGTTGAGAGTGACTAAGGAAGAAAAATGACCGCATAATAAAGGCTACTGAAAACAGGTGACAGCCGGTGGAAAAACATTTCCATGAAAGCAGAATATGGCTTTAGTAAGTGAGCTCATCTCCCTTGCTCTCATTTGCCCAGTCTGCACTATGACATCAATGACAGTATTACTCCACAGAGTTCCTGGAAGAACTCAACATCTACATACATAGGTCTTAAGGGGAGCATCTGGCATGTAGTAAGCACTTATCTAATGCTAAGCTGTAATATTCTTACTTTACTTGTTAGATGAGGCAGATTGAGGGAAATTATAGCAACAGATTCCTAACACCATAAAACTATGTATTTGGCTCCTTTACTAAGCATGCATTTATGACTGCATCTTATGAGCTAGACACATATTTTTCCAAGATTATGACATATTACTTTCATAATAAAACAGGATTGATTTAAAATGTTACTTTGGGGCAAAATATTGTAAAATTCGATACTTGAGTCATATAAAAAGTCTTTAATGTTTCTATGAACCCCATGTGTAATACAACCTTTTGCTCCCACCATCGCTTGCAGCCGCCCTTCCTCATTCTTCTCTTTTTCTTGACTCCTCTGTCTCTGCACCCCCCCATTTCTCTCTCCATTCCTCTACTGATGCTTTATTTCTTCCTTTTCTATTGAGTCACCAGCCAGTAAGCACATGTCTTGTTGAATTTCTGTGGGGTTCACATTCTCATATACACAGCACCAAGTTTTAGCCTTAAATGTCTGATGTGTGAAGGGAATCAAAGGGGATATGAAGCACTGAGTGCTACGGCTTCCCCAGGGAACCAGAGGATGGATGGACCTGCTGCAGGGGCAAGGGGCTTCCCTGCAAGGAGGGAGCGAGCAGAGGATATGTTCTATTTAGGAAGATTCTAATCATAACTAAAACAATTACTGAATTGCAGGACCTAAATTTCCAAATTTTGGAATATAAAATAAGACAAAATTTGCATATTCAGGATTGTAAATCTTATTTAGTCCCCTTCTTAAGGCAAAATGTCAAGTCTTACCATGATTTCTCAGCTGTGTTAGACATACAGATTGGTTATGTTATCACCCTCTGAAGTATATATACATTTACATATTTCTTTAAATAGTTAGACTTCTAGTGATGGATAATATTCTTTGTGTAGAGCTTGATTTGTTGCTAGGTAAATGATAATTTTACAATTTCTCAGATGATGATGATTGTTAATAAAATAAGTGATTTCCATAGTTTCTCAAACACTGGTAACCATAGAAAAATTTTTACTGACCTATGAATGTCAAGTGACCCTGATGTGTTAAATAGTGTGTTGTCATAAGAACAAACAATTTAAGGGTATATATAACACTAAATTCCAAAATGTTACAAAACATGTTAATGTTAATTCAGAATAATTCCCAGTAATCATCTATCATAAGAGAAAGAAAGCTCTTATAATTTTTTTATAATGTATTTTTCTCCTCCCACATTGTAGAAAGTTAAGGCCTACCAGGCCAAAAGGAGCAGAGCTGGAGTCTTCCTGGTGCTGTCAGAGGTCCTTACTGTGCCTAGTCAATAAGGAACGACCAAGCAGTGTTACCTGAGTGCCTAGCAACAGACTCTGTCAGAGGTCCTGATCATTCGTAGCCATAGGGATAAGGGATGAGCATGAAATGTCAACTGTCAATGAATCAGAATGCCTGGGTGATGGGAGGGTGTATATATATTTCCTGTTCTGAAATAAACGAGTCTGCTATAAGCCATCTATCCGACTCCTGGTGTCTGTGTTCATTGATGTCATGCCTTTACACCACCTCCCCCGAGGAAGATATTAGGGTTCAGCAACACCCTGTAATTTTCTCTGCATTGATATGATTGATATGTTGGATTGTAAATTCTCTATTTTGTTTCCAATTTATCATCATTTCCTAAACACTACAATATGTTACATGTGTGGTTATCTCTTTATCTCTGGACCACATACAGGGGTCATGTCTGTCCAAAATTATGGGCATCTCATTTTTAGATTTCTGAACGGAAAAGAAAAAAAAAACAGTGAAAGCACATCCTGGGCATCACATGTCATTGGGAATTAATTCATGCACCTTAAAGGAAGACCCTCAAATGAATTGATATCAATACTCCCTCAGAAAAGACAATAAACTAACGTATCAACTTTTGAAAACAGTCAGTGCTGATCTTTTAAATTGGCAGAGAGAAGTGTGTCAAAGACAACACATGCAGTTCTACACAGTCTCAGGTATAGCCTTCTTATGCTGCTTCTTAGAGTCTATACAGGGGGATGTTCACGCACAGTCACAGGAGTCTGGCCATGAGACAAGAATCTGTATGCTTTTCTTTGAAACATCATAGGCTTTTTTATTCATGTCCCAAACGAAAGAAAACCAAACAACTATCAATTCAATATATACACCAGATAACTCAAATCTTCATTTGTGTCTTAAGCTTTCATTTGAGTACCAAACTAAAGGGACTGATCATGAAAAGCAGTGAGACATCATAGAAAGAGATCATACCAAAGTGAATATTAGAAATAAACACTGAAAAGTCCACACAGTAAAAGTATTTTTGTAATGTGCTTGAGACATGATTTAAAACATGAGTAGAGCAAAGAAAATCAATACTATCAAAGATGACCCACTCTCATCTGGTGCTCTGTGTGACCCAGGGAG